TATTTAGTGAAGGGATTCAGGGAAACTGGTTATTTTTATATAGCCAGACTTGAGTCCTGGAAATGGGAAGCACAATGCCTGCACTTTAAAGGAGAGGTTTGGGATATTGGCAGTTTGGAGGGATATGTTGTGTATCTTTATACGTATATGCTTCTAAACTGTTGTATTCTGAGCACCTCTGCAAAAACAGTGATTATGTGTGAGTGAGGTGAAAGTGTTGAATGATGATGAAAGTATTTTCTTTTTGGAGATTTTCTTTCTTTTTGGGTATTTTCTTTCTTTTTGCGTCACCCTGCCCCAGTGGGAGACGGCCGACTTGTTAAAAATATAAATACACGTATGTACAGTGGTCCCTCGATAATCGTAGGGCTCGAGAGTCGTACTTTTCGGAAATCGTAGCGATATTTTTGCAAAAATATGGGCTCGCTAATCGTTGATTGACTTGCGAATAGTAGTTTGTCCGGGACAAGTACACACAGCCCCGAGCCGCCTCACACTCCATTCCCAGCCAGTGTGCCATTGTTTATCAGTGAGTGAGGATGATCCCACGAGTTCATACGATACATTTCATAATATTCCATTCGTTTTAGTGTTTGCAACTGCTAAATAAGTCACCATGGCTCCAAAGAAAGCTTCTAGTGCCAGCCCTTTGGTAAAGAATGTGAGAAACACGTATAATTTAAAAAAAAGTTTGTAGAAAAATATGAAGGTGGTGGTTGTAGAGTGGAAGCAGTTGTGATAGTGGTTGATGGTGGTAGAGGGTGGTAGTGAATGGTAGTGATGAATATCAAAATGGTATACAATACCGACAGGTTGGTAGGTAAGACACATAGGCAACAGTTAGGCAACTTTATTCTGAAACGTTTCGCCTACACAGTAGGCTTCTTCAGTCGAATACAGAAAGTAGGCAGGAACATTAGAGATGTGAAGACGATGTAATCAGTCAATCACCCTTAAAGTCGTAGATTTGAGGTTGTCAGTCCCTCAGCCTGGAGAAGTTCAGTTCCATAGTCAGGAACTATTTGAAGATCAAGCGACAGTGCGGAGACTTAAATACTGTCGGAAGGAGAGGTACAGAGTAGTAGTAGTGGGAAAGCAGCCACTGAGAGGACTCATCCCTCTCAGATCAAACATTTCTCACTTGAAAAAGTTGTCCAAGGTGTTTTCTGTACCTAGATGCCATTGTGTTGCAGTGTCTGACAGGATGAATATCAAAATGGTTGAATACTTTCTGTGTTCGACTGAAGAAGCCTACTGTGTAGGCGAAACGTTTCGGAATAAAGTTGCCTAACTGTTGCCTATGTGTCTTACCTACCAACCAGAGGGTAGTAGTGATGGTGGTAGCAGTTGTAATAGTGGTAGAAGGTGGTAGTGATGGTGGTAGAGGGTGTTTTCTTCAGTGATTCAGCGATTCTACCAACTCCTCCAATGTTGTTCAAATTCAAATTCAAAGTTTATTCTCTATAAGGATTACAATGCTGAGTTTACAGAATTTGGTTATTGTGTGGTTTACATGTAGTAAAATAATGCTTACAGAGTGTACCACTAGAATACCTAGCATGGCTAGGCATTTCGGGCAGACTTAGTTTAATTCTTAATTTTAAAATATTACAAATTACGAGGTAAGTTGGTATTATGGCTAAGTGACTAAATACTAGTTTGTGAGTTTAGCAATGTGAATGCTTTTGTTTTGGCACAGTACATAGTTTCAGTATTGGAGTATCACAGGATTCATTATTTTAAGATGGAGATTAATATTTCTGTTTATGGTCAAATGGGTGAGTGAGTGTAAGTGTGAACCACCAGGTGGTATTCGTGTAGTTAGTTGACGGGGTGTATCAGGGAGATTAATGGTAGTTTTGAAGGTGATGAATGTGTCTGCAGTTCTAGAGTTCTCAGGTAGGGTGTTCCAGATTTTAGGGCCTTTGACATACATTGAATTTTTGTAAAGGTTTAGTCGGACACGGGGAATGTCGTAGAGATGTTTGTGTCTGGTGTTATGCCTGTGGGTTCTGTCACAACTATCAAGAAAGCGTTTTAGGTCAAGGTTGATATTGGAGTTTAAGGTCCTGTAGATGTAGATTGCACAGTAGTAAGTGTGGATGTTCTGAACAGGGAGTAAGTTTAGATCTATGAAGAGTGGGGGGGTGTGTTGCCAGGGATGGAATTTGGTGATTATTCTTACTGCAGCTTTTTGTTGGGTTATTATTGGCTTTACGTGTGTTGCTGCAGTTGATCCCCAAGCACAAATAGCATAGGTGAGGTATGGATAAATAAGTGAGTGGTATTGTGTGAGAAGGGCATTTTGCGGCACGTAGTATCGTATCTTGGAGAGGATCCCAACTGTTTTGGATACTTTGTTGGTTATGTGTTGGATATGGGTGCTGAAATTCAGGTTGTTGTCAAGGTATAGGCCTAGGAATTTGCCCTCATTATGTCTGGTAATTAGAGTGTTGTCGATCTTAATGTTAATTTGTGCATCTCCTGCTCTGCTACCAAACATAATGTAGTAGGTTTTGTCAGTGTTAAGCGTAAGTTTATTGGCTGTCATCCAAGTCGATATTTTGAGCAGCTCCTCGTTAACAATGGTGTTGAGGGTGGCAAGATTAGGGTGAGAGATGACATAAGTCGTGTCGTCAGCAAAGAGAATGGGTTTCAGGTGTTGGGATACGTTTGGAAGATCATTGATGTATATGAGGAAGAGCAGGGGACCAAGGGCACTTCCCTGCGGAACTCCAGTATCAAGTGGCCGTGTTTTTGATGCTGTGTCTTTAATGGTGACATACTGATACCTATTAGTAAGGTAAGATTTGAAATAAGCAAGCGCATGGCCTCTTATACCGTAATGGTCAAGTTTGTGGAGTAGGATGTCGTGGTCTACTGTGTCAAAAGCTTTTCTTAGGTCAATAAAAATTCCTAGTGGATATTCCTTATATAAAGGGCTACAGAAAACATCGCCGCCTCAGCTGCTGCTTCACCACCATTATGGACGGCTTACTCTCAGTGGCCCTAATACAACACAACACAACACAACACTTCTCGTGACATACATAATGACTTATTTTATTCATTCTAGAGTATATTCCATGTTTCTATGTTATTAATATTGTTTATTATGTCATACTAGTTGAATTGTGATAGATAAATAAGCGGTAGAATTGATATTACTGTCATATTCTCCAACAATAAACTTGCCATCCCTCCCTCACACAAATAAATCTCCAATAAGAACATAAGAAAGGAGGAACACTGCAATAGGCCTGTTGGCCCATACTAGGCAGGTCCTTTACAATCCTTCCCACTAAGAACATAACAATGGAAGAATACTGCAGGTCTACTGGCCCATACAAGGCAGGTTCTTATGTCCTGTGTATATTGCTGAATTTAAAGGGAGAAACTTTCGTTTTTCCTTTTAGGCCACCCTGCCTTGGTGGGATACGGTCAGTTTGTTGAAGGAAGAAGAAACAATATGTTTAAAATTTAAGAGTTCTTGCACACTGACTTCGTTTTGTGCAATTTGCTTTCTGTGCGATTCAAGAAGTGCAATAAAAAAAAATTGATGTTTCATGAAAATCTTGACATTATGCACCATAAAGTGTTAAAGAATTGGTTAATGCGTGAAATATTGGTACTACACAGCATAACGTTATTTTACAGTGGCCGCAAAAAAATCTATTCATTAACAATTTTTGGACAATAAAACAAAAAAAAGGCAACTTGATGTATGTACATGTATTTTATTTTCACTTTTTAGCTTCCAACTAGTACTTAGTCATGTTACCATTGTTCTTTATCACCATCTGAAGTCGCCTGGGCATCAATGTGGCAAGGGTGGAGAAGAACTGAAGCCAGAGTCACCAGGTATATATCATGCCTCAGCCTCCTCTAAAATATATATTGGTGTGTTGATAATAGTATAAAAGGGGCGGAACCTGGCAGGATACTTGTCTATACATCTTCCTTTATTTTATTAGCTAAATAAACAGAGCCTCAGTGAAGTTTCATAGTTTCCCTTAACTACATCTTTTTCATTTAAACACTGTTATCAATCACTGACATGTTTAACCATTGTGGAAATACAGCTAGAGGAGATGCATCACTGCTCAAGGCACAGATTATGTAATTGCAATATTTATGATAATTTATGAATCTGTATTAACCCTCAGGATTAATAATTTGAATAGTCTTCTATTGCACTTTTGTGGATTCTTGACATTAATGTGCTGAGTATTTATTTCAAACTTTTATACAGTTGTTTTATATAAATTAGGCATTCAAAGGTTATATAAATTTTGGGAAACACTAGGCAGTTTATTATCCTAATCAGGGAAGTGCTAAACCCATAGGGGTTATATAGTACTTAGTGAATGGGAAGCATTCAGGTTCTATCCAAAGAAAGGTAGGATAAGTCTAGTTCCTTGAATCAAGAGACCCACACCTACATCAAGGTACCATCCTTGAGGGATTAGCTAAGTAAGAAAAATACTGTTTATTGGGCATGACTTGCACTGCTCATGACCTGGCAAGCAGACTGAGAAAATCTATGGAAGGTACAATCCAAATTCTACATGTTATTTTTTTCTAGATTAATAGTGCATATTATGAAGTTTTTTAAGTGCTATGAAATTTTGAATACACTACATGATGTCTTGTTATAAGAGGGTTTACTTACTGTATATGTTATTAACAACTGCAGGTTGAATCTGATGTCAAAATTTTGCCTATACATATTATTGCCATAATCCCAGTGTTTAAGTAATTTTGGCTCATCAAATTAGGTTTACTTTTACTAGTATCTTTAATTTTCTTGCATACTGCTTGAATTTTAGAGTGATAAAGTTGCATACCTACCTACTTATCTCTCACTTGTGAGTTGAGGTAATACTAATTTTTGCATTTACTGTGCATTAAACTTGAAGGTTTATTTTAATTTCTTTAGTAGATGAATATTCTTGTATTTATTGCCTTTTGTAACACACAAAGTACTGTAATTTTATTAGGGTGCTAGGTCGAGAGATGACTGTGACATGGTTCGTGCCTTGCGACCACGTAATCATCCAGATGTTGTCAAATCAACTTTGAGTACCCGAGATCTTCGGTTTAACGAAACAACGATTGACTCCGTTCTTGGTGCTCCAAGCAAAATCTACATTCCAGAAAGATATATGCCAGATGAGGTGAGTGTTGTCATTTTTTCTTAGCAAGTAAGTTGTAGGCACACACTTCAGTCATTAATTTTAGTGTGTGTAACACTCGAAAAACAGTTATTACTGTAATTTAGAGAGCTTTACAAAGTATATGTTATACCTCATTAAAATAAGTTGCTATGTAACAGACAACATGAAAACTAATAATGCAGCTTATGTGGAAAGAAAGTCTTCTGGGCACTTGGTTATTGACAGGTAGTAATTCCAACATTCATCTCTTCTTGCCTACATTTCAAAGATGAGGATGTAGATTTTTCACCCAGGCATATACAACAAGGATGAGTGAAAAGACAGTCTAATAATTGTATTACTATATGAATATATGAGCACAAGCCACAAGGATTTATTTCCTAACTCTATGACTTGTGCTCATCTATTTTGCTTGTTACATGCAATAATGTTTGCAAATATTGTATATACTGTATCTGTGGATGATACTACCCAAATTTTGCATGTTATTTTTTCAATTTAGGGTGTGTATTATGTACAGTATATTCTGCCAAGGCAGGGGTGACCTAAAGAAGGAAACACATTAACCAAAATTCACTCAATCGCTGTCTTTCCAGAAGTGTGTTGACATCACAGTCAGTTACCTCTCTACCTGTACATCCTCATCCCTCCTTCAGAGTGCAGGCACTACCTTTCCCACCTACAGGACTTAAGTCTAGCTAACCAGTTTACCCTGAATCCCTTCATAAAAGTTATGTTGCTCACACTCCAGCAGTATATCTATTAAGTATCACTTATCTCCATTCACTTCTAATATGCTCACACAAACCTGCTGGATGTTCAAACCCCGAAACTCAAAGCCTCTAATACCTCCAACCATTCCTGGGATGACCCTTCACCCCCTTTTACTTTCCACTCCCTTCTGCATTCTTCCCCAGGTGTACATACCCTCTTTGTCAACCTATCCCTGTCCATCCTCTCTACATGCTCAAACCACCTCAAAAGCCCCTCCTCAGCCCTTTGAATTATACCCTTTGGTCACTCCACATTGCCTTTAATATCTATGTTCTGAATTCTCTGCATGTTATTTGCACCACACATTGCTCTTAAACATGTCTCCACTGCCTCTAGCCTCCTCCTTACTGTAGTTTGTCTGTCTTCTAAGAATGAGTCATTTTTTGAGGCCAACCAACTTACTACGTACTTACAAGTATAACTTCAGCTGGAAATTTCCATGGATCCATGCACACATACAACTGCAAGGTATAGGCTAGTTAAATTACCTTGTGCAGAATAGAGTAGAGAGAGAATAGTCAGCCTTTTTCTCACTTTTTCAGTAGAGGTCTTGCTACCATACCTAGTTACTGGAGCGTTCATTAGAGAGGCTTAAAAAATAGGGATTATTATTATTTTTTATTATCACACTGGCCGATTCCCACCAAGGCAGGGTGGCCCGAAAAAGAAAAACTTTCACCATCATTCACTCCATCACTGTCTTGCCAGAAGGGTGCTTTACACTACAGTTTTTAAACTGCAACATTAACACCCCTCCTTCAGAGTGCAGGCACTGTACTTCCCATCTCCAGGACTCAAGTCCGGCCTGCCGGTTTCCCTGAATCCCTTCATAAATGTTACTTTGCTCACACTCCAACAGCACGTCAAGTATTAAAAACCATTTGTCTCCATTCACTCCTATCAAACACGCTCATGCATGCCTCCTGGAAGTCCAAGCCCCTCGCACACAAAACCTCCTTTACCCCCTCCCTCCAACCTTTCCTAGGCCGACCCCTACCCCGCCTTCCTTCCACTACAGACTGATACACTCTTGAAGTCATTCTGTTTCGCTCCATTCTCTCTACATGTCCGAACCACCTCAACAACCCTTCCTCAGCCCTCTGGACAACAGTTTTGGTAATCCCGCACCTCCTCCTAACTTCCAAACTACGAATTCTCTGCATTATATTCACACCACACATTGCCCTCAGACATGACATCTCCACTGCCTCCAGCCTTCTCCTCGCTGCAACATTCATCACCCACGCTTCACACCCATATAAGAGCGTTGGTAAAACTATACTCTCATACATTCCCCTCTTTGCCTCCAAGGACAAAGTTCTTTGTCTCCACAGACTCCTAAGTGCACCACTCACTCTTTTTCCCTCATCAATTCTATGATTCACCTCATCTTTCATAGACCCATCCGCTGACACGTCCACTCCCAAATATCTGAATACGTTCACCTCCTCCATACTCTCTCCCTCCAATCTGATATTCAATCTTTCATCACCTAATCTTTTTGTTATCCTCATAACCTTACTCTTTCCTGTATTCACCTTTAATTTTCTTCTTTTGCACACCCTACCAAATTCATCCACCAATCTCTGCAACTTCTCTTCAGAATCTCCCAAGAGCACAGTGTCATCAGCAAAGAGCAGCTGTGACAACTCCCACTTTGTGTGTGATTCTTTATCTTTTAACTCCAGCCTCTTGCCAAGACCCTCGCATTTACTTCTCTTACAACCCCATCTATAAATATATTAAACAACCACGGTGACATCACACATCCTTGTCTAAGGCCTACTTTTACTGGGAAAAAATTTCCCTCTTTCCTACATACTCTAACTTGAGCCTCACTATCCTCGTAAAAACTCTTCACTGCTTTCAGTAACCTACCTCCTACACCATACACTTGCAACATCTGCCACATTGCCCCCCTATCCACCCTGTCATACGCCTTTTCCAAATCCATAAATGCCACAAAGACCTCTTTAGCCTTATCTAAATACTGTTCACTTATATGTTTCACTGTAAACACCTGGTCCACACACCCCCTACCTTTCCTAAAGCCTCCTTGTTCATCTGCTATCCTATTCTCCGTCTTACTCTTAATTCTTTCAATTATAACTCTACCATACACTTTACCAGGTATACTCAACAGACTTATCCCCCTATAATTTTTGCACTCTCTTTTATCCCCTTTGCCTTTATACAAAGGAACTATGCATGCTCTCTGCCAATCCCTAGGTACCTTACCCTCTTCCATACATTTATTAAATAATTGCACCAACCACTCCAAAACTATATCCCCACCTGCTTTTAACATTTCTATCTTTATCCCATCAATCCCGGCTGCCTTACCCCTTTCATTTTGCCTACTGCCTCACGAACTTCCCCCACACTCACAACTGGCTCTTCCTCACTCCTACAAGATGTTATTCCTCCTTGCCCTATACACGAAATCACAGCTTCCCTATCTTCATCAACATTTAACAATTCTTCAAAATATTCCCTCCATCTTCCCAATACCTCTAACTCTCCATTTAATAACTCTCCTCTCCTATTTTTAACTGACAAATCCATTTGTTCTCTAGGCTTTCTTAACTTGTTAATCTCACTCCAAAACTTTTTCTTATTTTCAACAAAATTTGTTGATAACATCTCACCCACTCTCTCATTTGCTCTCTTTTACATTGCTTCACCACTCTCTTAACCTCTCTCTTTTTCTCCATATACTCTTCCCTCCTTGCATCACTTCTACTTTGTAAAAACTTCTCATATGCTAACTTTTTCTCCCTTACTACTCTCTTTACATCATCATTCCACCAATCGCTCCTCTTCCCTCCTGCACCCACTTTCCTGTAACCACAAACTTCTGCTGAACACTCTAACACTACATTTTTAATCCTACCCCATACCTCTTCGACCCCATTGCCTATGCTCTCATTTGCCCATCTATCCTCCAATAGCTGTTTATATCTTACCCTAACTGCCTCCTCTTTTAGTTTATAAACCTTCACCTCTCTCTTCCCTGATGCTTCTATTCTCCTTGTATCCCATCTACCTTTTACTCTCAGTGTAGCTACAACTAGAAAGTGATCTGATATATCTGTGGCCCCTCTATAAACATGTACATCCTGAAGTCTACTCAGCAGTCTTTTATCTACCAATACATAATCCAACAAACTACTGTCATTTCGCCCTACATCATATCTTGTATACTTATTTATCCTCTTATCTTAAAATATGTATTACCTATAACTAAACCCCTTTCTACACAAAGTTCAATCAAAGGGCTCCCATTATCATTTACACCTGGCACCCCAAACTTACCTACCACACCCTCTCTAAAAGTTTCTCCTACTTTAGCATTCAGGTCCCCTACCACAATTACTCTCTCACTTGGTTCAAAGGCTCCTATACATTCACTTAACATCTCCCAAAATCTCTCTCTCTCCTCTGCATTCCTCTCTTCTCCAGGTGCATACACGCTTATTATGACCCACTTCTCGCATCCAACCTTTACTTTAATCCACATAATTCTTGAATTTACACATTCATATTCTCTTTTCTCCTTCCATAACTGATCATTTAACATTACTGCTACCCCTTCCTTTGCTCTAACTCTCTCAGATACTCCAGATTTAATCCCATTTATTTCCCCCCACTGAAACTCTCCTACCCCTTCAGCTTTGTTTCGCTTAGAGCCAGGACATCCAACTTCTTTTCATTCATAACATCAGCAATCATCTGTTTCTTGTCATCCGCACTACATCCACGCACATTTAAGCAACCCAGTTTTATAAAGTTTTTCTTCTTCTCTTTTTTAGTAAATGTATACAGGAGAAGGGGTTACTAGCCCATTGCTCCCGGCATTTTAGTCGCCTCATACGACACGCACGGCTTAGGGATGTTATTAAAAATTAATGTTTAGTTAAGGTGCCTTTGATATACTTTTGAAGGGTTTTGAGAGTTTTCCTACTCCAACAGCCCAGGCTTGGATAGTGCTTGCCTGATGAACCTGGCTGTTATTGCTAGTGGCGTGCTGACCTACATGCTTGTAATTTTTGTGGTTATCCTTTGACAGGGAGCTCTTACTTGTAACAGTTCTACACAGATTTTTAACCCATGATGATTTCATTTCTTAATTAGGATGATGAAAAAGAATTAACTGAAGAAGAGCGTGCATTAAGAGAATTGAAGGCAGAATCCATCCGCAAAATGCTGTCTGAGACACAGACCACGGCCACAAAGGGTGAGGCAGGAGAGGACCAGTCATCAGAAAGTAAAACCACTGCCAGTTCCTCTTCAGCATTCAAAGCCAAGGTGGCAGCTGAGAAGAAAGAACGTGAACACCTTTTAGCCTTGAACCAGATTCTTGCTCGACAGGTCATGGAGAAGAGTCGTGTAGTAGCAGGTATGCTTTTAGCTTGTGACACTTCGATTTTTTATTGATATTGCTTGTTTGGTTCTTTCAAGGAAGGTGTCTTGATGTTGGTCAGGGATGTTTTGATCTGAATAATTTAGATGTTTCCTCCTTTTCCTTAGATTATTTTTATTACATTCATGGAGGGGGAGGGGAGCACTAAAGTCATAGGTGTTATACAGCCCCTGGGGAATGGGAGGCAATTGACTTTGATTCGAGGAAGGGAAGGTCATGTCCAGAGCCCCTCACCAGCATCAATGAGCCTACCGTGAAAGGCCAAACCTTGAATTTAACCTAATTGCCTCCCATTCCTTTAGTATTGTATGACCCCTCCTAAGGATTTAATTTTCCCCATGAATGTTATAAAAATAATAATGCTTGTTTGGTGAAAACATTGATGTTTGGGAGCTGGTAGCTTTAATGCACTTCATAGAATTGATGTGGTTTTTGAAACTCACCGTCCCCCCCCCCTTTTTTTTAAAGAATAAATGCTAATTACAAGTACTGTACACCAGCCACTGTTAACCTTGATATGGTGTTTTCACCAATATATGTTTACTATTTAATTTGAAACTTTATTTTTATAATTTACATAATCTTTTAATTATATATGTTATGTATTATATATACAGTGGACCCTCGACATTCGATACTAATCCGTTCCTGAGAGCTATCAAATGTCGAAAATATCGAAAGTCGAATTAATTTTCCCCATAAGAAATAATGGAAATCAAATTAATCCATGCAAGACACGCAAAAGTATGAAAAAAAAAATTTACCACATGAAATATTAAGTTTAATGCAATAGAATAATTACAATAACAATAGATTAATAACAATAGAATAATTGACACTTACTTTTAATAAAGATCTGGTGATGATTGATGGGATGGGAGGAGGGGAGTGTGTGGATGGTGTTAGTGTTTAGAAGGGGAATCCCCTTCCATTAGGACTTGAACTGGCAGCCTCACCATGCCTTACCACACTGTGTATGCCACTATGATTCTTAAATCTTTCAAACCAACCTTTGCTGGCCTTAAATTTACTCACATCACCACTAGTTGCAGGCAATTTCTTTACCAAATCATCATGCACTCCAACACACACACTCCACTTTCGTACTTTGCAATTATCTCTTTCTTCATTTCAATAGTCATTAGCACCTTTTTTCTCGAAGGGTTGGCACTAGAAGCTTTCTTGGGGCCCATGGTTACTTATTTTGCAGAAACAAGCACCAAAAACAATGATAATATAGATAATATGGAATGTACCGAATGTATCCTTAGATGCGCGCACACTGGCTGGCTTGTAAACACTGGCACACACGGTGCAGTTCAGGCCACACGTGGACACGTCTCGTACGAATCGTATCGAATGTCGGGTTTTCCATCGAATGTTGAGGCGAAATTTTTGCGTTAAAATGCATCGAATGTCGGATTTATCAAATGTCAATGTCATTGAATGTCGGGGGTCCACTGTATATATATATATATTTTTTTTTTCAACATACCGGCCGTATCCCACCGAGGCGGGGTGGCCCAAAAGGAGAAACAAAAGTTTCTCCCTTTACATTTAATAATATATACTACAGGAGAAAGGGTTACTAGCCCCTTGCTCCTAGCATTTTAGTCGCCTCTTACAACACGCAAGGCTTACGGAGGAAGAATTCTGTTCCACTTACCCATGGAGGTAAGAGGAAATAAACAAGAACAAGAACCAGAAAGAAAATAGAACTAAACCCAGAGGGGTGTGTATATATATGTTTGTATAGGTATGTGTAGTGTGACCTAAGTGTAAATAGAAGTAGCAAGACGTACCTGAAATCTTGCATGTGTATGAGATAGAAAAAAAAGACCCCAGCAATCCTACCATCGTGTAAAACAATTACAAGCTTCCATTTTACACTCACTTCGCAAGACGGTAGTACCTCCCTGGGCAGTTGCTACCTACCAACCTTTTTTTTTTTTTTTTTTTCGACAAGTCGGCCGTCTCCCACCGAGGCAGGGTGACCCAAAAAAGAAAGAAAATCCCCAAAAAGAAAATACTTTCATCATCATTCAACACTTTCACCACACTCACACACTATCACTGCTTTTGCAGAGGTGCTCAGAATACAACAGTCTAGAAGCATACACATATGAAGATACACAACATATCCCTCCAAACTGCCAATATCCCAAACCCCTCCTTTAAAGTGCAGGCATTGTACTTCCCATTTCCAGGACTCAAGTCCGACTATATGAAAATAACCGGTTTCCCTGAATCCCTTCACTAAATATTATCCTGCTCACACTCCAACAGATCGTCAGGTCCCAAGTACCATTTGTCTCCATTCACTCCTATCTAACATGCTCACGCACGCTTGCTGGAAGTCCAAGCCCCTTGCCCACAAAACCTCCTTTACCCCCTCTCTCCAACCCTTTCGAGGACGACCCCTACCCCTCCTTCCTTCCCCTATAGATTTATATGCTTTCCATGTCATTCTACTTTGATCCATTCTCTCTAAATGACCAAACCACCTCAACAACCCCTCTTCTGCCCTCTGACTAATAATTTTATTAACTCCACACCTTTTCCTAATTTCCACACTCCGAATTTTCTGCATAATATTTATACCACACATTGCCCTTAAACAGGACATCTCCACTGCCTCCAACCGTCTCCTCGCTGCTGCATTTACCACCCAAGCTTCACACCCATATAAGAGTGTTGGTACTACTATACTTTCATACATTCCCTTCTTTGCCTCCATAGATAACGTTTTTTGACTCCACATATACCTCAATGCACCACTCACCTTTTTTCCCTCATCAATTCTATGATTAACCTCATCCTTCATAAATACACGTCAACTCCCAAGTATCTGAAAACATTCACTTCTTCCATACTCCTCCTCCCCAATTTGATATCCAATTTTCTTTATCTAAATCATTTGATACCCTCATTACCTTACTCTTTTCTATGTTCACTTTCAACTTTCTACCTTTACACACATTCCCAAACTCATCCACTAACCTTTGCAATTTTTCTTTAGAATCTCCCATAAGCACAGTATCATCAGCAAAAAGTAACTGTGTCAATTCCCATTTTGAATTTGATTCCCGAAGTCAGACCGAAGCATCCTAAGTTTCAGTCTCCTGTGTGCGCATTTTTTGTGTATTGCTCCTGTATATTATTTATACACATCATTAGTAAATGTTTATGTATACAATATCACAACTCTCAAAACTTCTTTAACAGTATGTAATAGGCATTTATTCTCTTGAGTGAGTTATTGCTGAGTGTTATTTTTCCTGCTGCTCTTCAGGCCTGAATTGTGATAGCGTCATCGTATTATTTGTTACATTACTACGCATTATGTTTTTGATGTAATATTTGTTATATTAATACACATTATGTTTTGTTACCATACATCAGTGGGAAAAAAAAATGTCTTGTTCTTGGAAACCAGTAATTTTTTTTTTTTTTAATTCTGGAGCAATGACACTTCTGAAGTTGAATTTCATTTTACTCATATCTGTAACTCAGATTTAGTTTTACCAACATTAAAGGCTAGTTATTTTTATTATATTCATGGGGAAGTGTTAAATCCATGAGGGTGATATAGTGCCTGGGCGCAGTGGGAGATGTTCAGATTTGATCCAGGTAAAGGGAGGGAAGGTCCAATTCCTTGGATTAAGACTCCCTCAACAAGACCCTTAAGGGTAAGACACATATGCAACAGTTAGGTATCTTTTATTTCAAAATAAAGATACCTAACTGTTGCATATGTGTCTTACCTAACAACCTGTCGGTATTTTATACCATTTTAATGTACAAGACCCTTAAGGGGTTTACTTAAAGGCTAGCATAATCCACTGAGAATCACAGTATTTCTGGTGTTATTTCTCAAGAAAAATCAGCTATAAACATTATTGAAATACAGGTTGACCATCACTAATCTGGCATCATTGGGATCTGTAGGGTGCCGGATTAATGATTTTGCCAGATTACAGAATGGTTAGGTTAGAATACAGGAGGCCCTCCACATTTGTGAGGGTTAGGGGATCAAGAACCTTGTGAATCTTGAAAATTCATGAATGTTCGTTGCACAAATGTGATGCAAGGAAATATATTATTAGCATTTACTTAGCCTAACAATACTGCTTCCTTAACCTATTGAACCAAGAACAATCATAAAACACATGATAACATTGTAAAATATTGTATATACATGTTATAATTGGGCGCCTGGGCATTCGCGAATGTTCAAAGCTCACAAAAGTGGAACTCGCAAATGTGGAGGGCTAGCTGTACACTTACCCAATGGCGATATTTATGCATTGGCAATTTTCACCACTTTATGCTCTATTTTAGACCCATTCCATTGTTCCAGTCTGCCAAACTCATAGCTATTTCTCTAGTATTCCTTCTATTCTGTCTACTGTGTACAAGAAACCGCCCATTTACCTATTTCAGCTACCCAATAAAGGGGTCAGAAATTGGTAATTTGGCCAATTTCAAAATAGGGTCCAGAATAAACAAGGCAGACATTCCTAGCACTAAAATAACATTTTCTCTGTTCATTAGTCACATCTCCAGCCCCCTCTTATATTATGCTTACTTTCTGTTTTGAATTTTTATTCACACAAAAAAATAGAATATTTACTGTTATGCAGACTGCTGCATTATTGTATAATGTCAACACATTCGTGACTATATTAGACCGGCCAGTTGGACACATATTGGACAGTGGTGTCATTTGTTTACTCTTGAACATCAGCAAAAATCGAGCATTTCTGCTCCTTTGAGCTCAGTTTTAAAGTACATTCCAGTGTGAAACCAATCAAAATTATATATATTTCTGTAATATATCTTCCATTCTGTGAAATGAGACCGCAAAAAGGAGAATACAACCATACGGACCATATGAAAATACACTGCACAGTTGCTGTTTTACACCAAAAGCACAGTTGCCTTTTTTCTCATTATGCACTGCATGCTGCAGGATT